AACAGGAAGGGACCATGCCAAGTGAGTAGTACGGCTGCCACGAGCTTGCATGCTTTGCAATTGTTATTTCTTTTAGCTATTAGGTCTAAAGAAAGTTCATCTATAGATGCATATATTGAGATTTGCACTCTCAGTAGGTTAGGAATTGCATCTGATTGGCTAGGCATTCAGGAACAGAATGATCTTCTGCTTTGGGGATAGCATTGATATGTTTTAGAGAAACATTGCATCAACCCACAGCAAAAACCCAAAGATATTAATCTTACCGGAACCATTTATGACTAGTTGATACCAGCCTCAGCTAATTTTTTCTTCGGGTTCTTGCATCTTGAGAAATTTACTACTGAATCTCAGGTTCTATATGACATGGTATCTCACACTGCCATAGGTGCTGGAGTTAGGGGTGCTGGGGATGCAGCAGCAGCACCCCTTGGTTTGAAGTGGTTTCCATCATATATGGCGTTTACAGTTTTGTTTAATGGCTTTCAGCAACCCCACTATAAAATTTGTTCCAGGCTGCTGTTCTGTGTTCGGTGCACATTTCAGTTCAATGGAATAACCATCATTTTTTGTCCATTTTGATTGTATTGTTGCTAGAATCCCTGATTCTTTTGGGTAATATCAGTAAACTTCAGGTTCTGAGAATGATTATTCAGAATGGGTCCATTCCAACACACCAGAGGGAATTTAATTCAGCCACAGTGCTTGAACCTCAGGGGCACCGGTGTTCAGCAAACTCTACTTCAGGGGTTTTCAAACTGGTGGTCGGGACCCCTCAAGGGGTCACGAGGTTAATACATGGGGGGTCGTAAGCTGTCAGCCCCCACCCCAGACCCCACTTTGCCTCCAGCATTTCTAATGGTGTTAAATATATTTAAAAGTGTTTTTAATTTATATGGGGGGTCACACTCAGAGGCTTGCTATGTGAAAGGGGTCACCAGTACAAAAGTTTGAGAATCACTGCTCTACTTCATCCTTGATGTGCTGACATGCCATTGTACAATAGACATTTTAGATGCTAATTTAGAGGTTGAGTAGTTTTAACAATTATGAACTGGTTTTCTTCAGATTTAGTTTGGTCCATGAGATCAACAATACAAATGTGGGCCCTGGTCCTACTGTAAGATTCTATGTGACCAAGTGACCTCCTCAGATTCGGCTGTGGGTTTGAAGCCTATGTTTGTTTTGGAGATCTCACTTAGCTAAATGTGACGTTTCTAACTTGTCATTTCTGAATTATGTGAGTGCTAAATTTCTGATTACAGCTCACGGAGAAGGGTATTTTTTTTTTAATATCTGAATAGCTCAAATGTGGGCTTACTCAGATTTGCTCAAAAATAACCCCAACTCACTTTTGTGATGAGACCAAACATGCAGATTTTCAGCCCCAAAGGGATTTGTTTGAGAAGGTTTATGAGACTTTGAAAAGGGTGGTAATGGGGGCAGTGGTGGAGGTTACAAAAGGAGTTGCAATTTAACCTTAAATACAGCAGTTGCTATCTGCAATCACTGTAATAAAGTTTCCCCTCCCCCCCCCCATTAGGAATGTATTCATAAGTGATGCAAAATTAGAGTATGCAGGAAATACTATCATGCCCCTCGCCGTGACATTTTTCATACTTAGGACATGGTCTTCAGTCACTTGGTGTAAAGACAGTGAATGAAATCAGGGGGAGTTCCAGGTACAAGGGTGGGACAAGCAGGAACAAGATCATTTCCTACTTTTCTGTTACTATTTCCATGTTTATTTTTGAGGCTCACAGCAAAGTGCCCATGGACACAAGCATTTAATCCAACCTAATGATTTTTTTTTTTTGGTTTTGCTACTGTATGCAAGTGTGGAATTATAGGGATTTCAAGTGCTTTTATTGCTTTAAAACCAGCTCTTTATACGTTAAGATTTGTATTTATAGTACTTCAAAAAGTAAATGCCCTAGTTTCCAAATGTGAAAATCATCTACAGATATTTTGAGCAAAGAACTTTGCAGGCTAAACACCGAGGGCTGTAAAAATACTATTTTTTATGATAGCAGGACTATTTTTATTGCAAATAATAAACATTCATTCCTCTTGCTGAGAGCAAAATGAAAAGAAGCAGACTTGTTCTAGTAAAATGATGAATTTGTCATTAAAACAAATGTTAAAAATCATTTTCAAGTCCTAAGTTTATGTAAGATCTGCTCTTGAAGAATTCATGCAATTTATTGTATAAAATGTATTAATGCTCAAGTGATGTTGTGTGTTGTACTGCTGTTAAAAAATGCAAAGTGATATAGGCAGTGCTGGGAAGTGAATGAATGTTATCTAGGAAAACAGATTTGTCCTTGTCTGAATTTGGCCTACCAAGTTAATTAAAATAAAGAAGTGATATAGTCAGTGTTACAAATTCTCAAGATTTTATTTACTCTCAAGATATTTGGTGATTTTCTTAACGCCCAGCTCCTGGAGTCAAGTGAATATGTAAGAATATCAGTTTTCATTAAAAAGGTAAGTTTTGAGCTCGCAAAGTACAGAGGAGAGCTTGAAAATGTGGATCTGAAAGCCTTACCTATTATTGGCCACTGATTGCTGAATCAGGACTATTTCTGAGTGCAGACAAGGCCTCACTTTCACTTGGTTAGACTCCCATAGACCTACTTATGCCCAGAGTTTAAAGGTCAGAGGGAATAGGGTACCTATACAAAGAGATAAAAGCAGAGGGTGAGCTCCCGCTCCCTTCCCTGGCTTGGGTGAACCATGCTCTATCACAGCTCTCCTTCCTCCTGAATTAGGGGAGTGAGACCTCTCCCTGTTTCAATCTTCTTTAGCCCCTTCAAACACAGATTCTGTTGCTGTGTAAGGAATCAAAGATTGTGTCAGCCTCATGACGAGGAACTGGACACCAGAGGGTACTTTAACCTACACCTTCTTTTGACTCTTTTTCGTGCAAGTTAAACCAGCTGAGACTCCCTTTCACCTGCTTTATCACAGGGTAAGTACATCTAAGGGAGACCGAGTTAGTGTGTGTGGGAATCTAACTGTTGACTACACTAAGATTGCTATGGCACCGTAGTTATACTGCTGTAACCCTGTAATGTAGATGCAGCCTACAGCGTTGGAAGGGGTTTTTCCATTGCTGTAGGAACTTCACCTCCCTAAACGATGGTAGCTAGGACAACAGAAGGATTCTTCCATCGATCACCAGAGGGTTCAGTTGGCATAGCTACAAAGCTCAGGAGGTATGGCTTTTTCACGCCCCTGAGCACTGTAGCTATGTCAGCCTACATTTTAAGTGTAGATTAGCTCTGACACTAACTTACGTGGAGCTTCTGAATTTGACCCAGCGTGTCATTTAACAGAATTGAATGTACTAATTTGTCTTTATGTCTCTTAGACCTGGTCTACATTTAAAATGCCAATCAACATAGCTGTGTTGGTCAAGGGTGTAAAAAATCCACACCCTGGAGCACCACTGCTATGCCAACCTCTAGTATAGATGCAGCTCGGTAGAATGCTTCTGTTGTCTACCTACCATTGTTTGAGGAGGGGGTGTTCCTGCACTGATGGAAAAACCCTTTCCGTTGCTGTAGGGGGCGTCCTCACTACAGAGTTGTGCCAGCATAACTACAGAGCCGTAGCTATGCCTGTACTCTCTGGAGTGTAGACACGCCCTTGCTGTGTGTGTCTCCTACTGATGGGATGGCATTGTTAGATGAGGGCAAATTGATGGAATGCTTAAATTACATGGGGTGCTTGAGTTCCAAGCCATTGTTTTCTGAAGTCCTTTTTATTGTTAAGCAGTCGCACTGTAACTGTACTCCCACTAGGATAAGCATATTTTACATCCTCTTCAAGCAAGCAAAAAAGGTCGAGAGCACTAGCTTATTTCCTGGTTTGCCACCAGTGACTCCTTTTCCCATTGCGTGTCATGGTCAGCAAAAGTTCTCTACTCCCAAATACAGTAAGGGAACATACATCCCATAGAAAGTCTGGCTTTACTTTATATGCAGTTTTAGCTTATCAAGAGACTAGAAACTTAGCTCCCACATGACCAAGAATGAAGATGGCGGTGATGAATGGATTTTATTCATCTGTACAAAATATAAACAGCCCTCCACCCCTGCTTTGGGTGCCCTAATTTAAGGTAATTTTTCACAGTACATATCTTCAGAAACTGCTCGTTCTGATCTAACAATAAATATACAAATATGCCTCAGCAGATGTAATCTTATTGAAAGTCCTCCTCCACAGGCATAACAAAATAAAATCACTCCCTCAGCTTACCCCCTTGTGAGGTGCTGGGGAGAAAAGGAAAGCCTTGCAGCATGCCCGCAATAGGTTAAGAGATCAGGGCTGTGGTTGACCAAGAAGGCAGTGAATTGCAAAGTTGAGGACTCCACACAGAGGACACCCTGCCAGCAGATCCCTCTCTCTTCTATCAGAAAGGCTCCAGCTCGAGTGTCTCTGCTGATCTCCGTTGTTGCAGAATGGCACGTGGCGTGAGCCAGTAATTCAAATAACTGGATCCTAAAACCAGTGAGGGTGTTATGGGTTTTCTAAAACAAACATTTTAAATTTACCCTGAAACTTACCAGCAGCCAATAAAGAACTTACTCAAAAATGCCATGATCTGTCTGAGACAATTTTTTAACAAAAAAAATGTGGATAATGGTTAAATAATCCATCTTCCCTCTACAGAGTGGTATAGTGTATTAATATATAAACAGCATAATTGAAACCAACATGAGCGTATCGTTCTGTCATGTGAATGTCAAGCAAGTCATTGAGCCAAATTCTCTGCTGGTGTAAATAGGAGCAGCTCTACCGCCATCAGTGGAGCTGTGCCAGTTCACACCAGCAGAGAATTTGACCCACCATTCCCTTGCCCGTCCCCCCCGCCCCCATGGCAGTAACCCTCTGTTAATTTTGACAGGTACAATACTTTTTTTCTATACTGTGGGGTTTGCCAATTTATTGCCGTAGCAAGTGCTGGGATATAGCATGAAAAGCAGTACTTCTGGTGCATTTTCTAATTTTATTTTATATTTTTTTCCAAATGTACATCAAATTATCTTGCCTTGTAAATACTTCTATTGAGCTTTCACTCACTCTGGGGCTCTCTTGTCTGTCCTATTTCTTGTTCTTTAGTGGCGTGTAATCTGAGCTTTTTATATCTACAGTCTTCACACAGAGGCAAGCAGCTCACTGGAAAAGTCACAGTTAAACCAAACATTAAAACTGTCCAAGAACTGACTTCCTCGACAGCTCTGATTCAGGCTCCCAAAAATGCTCTGCACAGTGACTCATGCTTCCTTCTGGAAATGACAGAACTTCCTCATCATGCTGTTCTCCCTTGTCCTCTCCTCATCTCCTGTCCAATCAGGAAAGGATTGAATTTCATGTTACATTTTTTCCTGTGCTCGGCAGGGAGATGCATCCTTTTTGCAGGGGAAGAGTTTCTATGAGTCAAGGGTTGACAAACTGAAAATTAGTACCAGCCCTAGAAATAAATTACAAACAACAACAACATAAAACCCAGAGCGGTGGACAGTGGGTGTATATTGGATTGATGCCCCTCTCACAACTTGAGTTGCAGAACTGTCCTAAGAAGAACTTGCTTTCCAGGGCTGAAATTAGTGGCAAAGTTAAAGCTGTTGTCCCTTACTTTTGTGTGTTTGGTTTTATAGAGCTTGTATGTTTTCTATCAGGTAAGCTAATGCTATGTGTATGAGACGGGAACTATAGCAGCCAACCCTATTCTGAAAGAAGATTGTGTTTACCAGAGAACTATCCATGAGGGGGGGAAAGGACAGTGCCAAAAATATTTTGTTCCAGTGAAATCAATGCTGCCGACTGTTCCATAACAGTTACAATGACAGAAATGCACAGAGACATTTTGCTACATAGAACTTTAAAAAAAAAATCCTCTGATTTACGGAACAACATGTATTTGAGATAAATATCTTACCATATGGGGAGTGATGACTTGCACTGGAAGGAGAATTTTAAACAGCCCTTTTCATTTTGTTGTATACAAATCTTTAACTCCTTCATAGCCAGGGCAGGCAAAAGCTCCAGGTGCACAGATTATTTAATAATCAGTATTTAACAGAACTTGGGAGTATTCTAGGCATGAGCTCCTGGCCCTATAGAAGTCAATGACACAATAACCAGAGTGTGTGTGTGTGTGTACGCATGTGTCAGTAATAATAAAATTGATTTCATTTGCTCAGAACCTTACAGGGTTGAATTCATAGCAGGCTAGATGCTTTGCAGGTGAGGACGAAGACAAGGGGGTGGCTGCTCAGCCCTGATAAGGCTGCTTTAGGTTTTTCTAGCAGCACAAAAGAGCCTTCAAGCTCTGGTGTAGGAGAATTCCAGGGGGTGTAGAACTGGCATTGCTGGCTCCGTACCATACCGCAGTAGATTTGTAAGGGGAGGAAGGCATGGTCAGAGTGCAGTGTGCTCCAGCAGTCCCCAGCTGCCACAGCTACCCCTTGGAAGTCATTGCACATGGAGGCGAGTTGGAAAAGTTGCCTAGCCCTAGGAACTGCAGGAGTTGTGAGAGTGTAGAGGAGATGTCCAGCCTCCTTTGCCCTTCCGCAACACCTCCTGGGACCTGCAGCAGAAGAGATCAGAATCTGTTAAGAAAAAGTGCCACTCTACCATACCTTGACTTTAAACAAAGAACCTGAAATACGCCAATTACTCAGCTTGGATGTTCAGCAGAACTGATCTGGAGTGGCAAGGCAGGGATAGATATTGATTCCTAATGACTGATAATGCTCAGCAATTACAGTAGGAAAGGATCTTGCCAACTTATTCCTGTTGTTCTCTACTGGCTCTAGGAAGCCTATATAAATGTTAGAAGGCTAATTCCCACCATTAAGAACATTTGTTACACATGTCCAGCTTCAGCACAGGTAAAAACCTAGTCACACAGTAATCTGAATCACATGGGAAAACCCACACATTAAAAGCATGCGCACAAATGAAAATGTAACCGAAACCATTTACGCATGGAAACACGCATTTGCAGTTGTTCTGAAATATATAAGCCTAACGCTCAAGTGACCATTTAAAATCACAAATAGATATCTGTGCCCGTGGAAAGTGATTTACTTTTGAATATCCGTGACTGTCATATTTGATTCAGGCGTCTTGTATAAACAACTGATCTTCATTTAGGGCCAAATCCCAACTCTTTGGAAGTTAGTGGCAAGCGCTCATTGACTTAATTGAGATGAGAATGTGGTAGCTAGTCCATTCTTAATTTTGGTTTATTTTTGGCAAACACTCAAAAAGTGTGTATAAGATAGTGCCTGTCTAGGTCTCAGGCCACTGGCTTCTATCCTGCAGGTAGGAGAATTGGTCCCCAGGACACATGTGTTGGCCATATCAGAAATGTCCTTTGTGTCTTATGGAACCGCAAGAGGCAGTGTGTTGCCTATATTGTACTTATGAAATAGGATACATGTTAAATGTAGTCACATGCAATGATTGGATTTATCGAATCTGTTCTCTCCCACTCCCCCATCTCCCTGTGAACCCCACAGCTAGTCAAAAAATACAGAAAACTCTCCAAAAACATTTTAACTTTCCAGAGCATGCCAACCACTCTGTCAACTGGTCGAGAAACAGCAAAATAGTTTCACCAAAAATCTTTGATATTTACAATTTTTCCACCAGCTCTAGCGAACACTTCGGTTCCTGCAGCCTCTCCTCTCTCTCGCCTGCACAAAAGGTAGGCAGATGTAACGGAAGTCAAATCAGAGGGCCAAACTGGACCCACAATGTCCTGCTGGCTGCTGCTGCTTCCTAAGGGGCAGTTGAGCAGGACTGCTGCTACTTAGAGGGCTCTCCTGGCTGTCACTGGGTTTCTGGTCACTAGGAGGACCTGCTGAGCTGAGGCTCCTTTTAGCTACCACTGTGCTGCTGTGGAATTTTTTGCTGTGATCCCATGAGATCCCCCAAGCTAACTAGGAATGGGTTGGGTCAACAATGGATAGGATGCCTTTTGGGAGTTGCAGAAAGTGAGCGTGGGGACTCATTAGGTGTTGGTCTTTTTCTTTGTCAGTACTGAACCAATTTCTCAGCATAATGTATCCAATAATTACATTAAACAGCATTAGGGAAGGAAAGTAAAAGGACATAGCACATAAACGTAAGACAATTAATAATAAAAGCAAATATGTTGACAACTGGTAGTCTGGAGTGAAAGCAAACTATTGGGCTTCCGCGAAGAGAGAGATGATCATTAGAGGTAAAGGGCTTTAGAGATGGGGTTTAAAATGATGAAGGCAGTCAGGGAGCTGCAGCTAGCAGGGACAAAGCGTGATATTGAGAAGGGTTAACTGTGGGAAGAAGATCGTGAGAAGCTCAGTGAAGGGAGTGAACAGGAAGGTAGGAGTGATAACAGAAGAAAGGTAGGAAGGAATGGCAGGGGTGATAGTATGAAATGTAAGAAGCAAGAATTTTAAAGCACTAGCACAGAGGTCTAGGAAACCAGTGAGGTGAAGAAAGAGAAGGGAGACATGAATAGTGAAGCAAAGTAAAAATGACAGGTGCTTTTGGAATGGCTAAAGCAGCTGGAGATAGGGTCTTGGCAGACCAGTGTCAACAGCATTTCAGAAATCCAGATGCGAGATCGTATGTGCATGGACCAGGATTTTTACTGTAGCTAAAACCAAGAAATTTGTGGACGTATGAGGGGGGAAATCCCAGTGATGTCCATTAGAGTTTAGCTATTGATTTCAATGGGGTCAGGGTTTCACCCAAGAAGTTTCAAAGGTCATACTCACAGGTATAAAAACATGAGAATACTGAAATATTCAACTTTAAAGTGGGTGATAATTTGTGTAATATAAAGGCAGGGCTCAGATCCTGATCTCAATTTTTAAATCAGAATTAATCGTTTTTCTAAAAGAGCTTCTCTAGGAATTATTTTAGGGAAGTTCTATGGCCTGTGTTATACAGGAGGGCAGACTAGATGATCAGAATGGTCCCTTCTGGCCTTGCAATCTAGAAACACTGATTTCTGACCAGTAATGAGAAAATTGGTCAAAGAATCATTTAAAATAATAATTTGCATAGCATTTTTTAACATTTTAATCGGAACTATCCTCTTGGAGCCAGACTAAGCTGATTTCTAGATAGTCCCAGCCTTTAGGAGCAGAACAATATTTCCTGCCAACTTGAAAACCTTCACCCCCAACTGGGCATTGTGGCATTTTCTGCAGAGGTTTTCCGAATAGCAGCTGTGACGAGTTCAGTCACAGAGACCCCCTTGGGACTGTCCCCTGACGTGCTGAAACTACCTCTGAGCCTGTTTTCCTTGATGGCTTGGAACTCCAGAACCCTGCCTTGTTGAGCCAAACAACGCTAGTCTGTTGCAACACACACACAGGTCTGAACCGCGCCCACAAAGCTGCAGGCTTTAACAGGAAACCTGCTGAGTGGTTTTCAATCTCCAGCACCCAGACACCCAGTTCCCAATGGGAACCAAACCCCAAATAAATCCGTTTTATTCTCTATAAAGCTTATACAGGGTAAACTCATGAATTGTCTGCCGTCTCTAACACTGATAGAGAGATATGCACAGCTGTTTGCTGCCCCAGGTATTAATCACTTACTCTGGGTTTGTTAATAAATAAAAGTGATTTTATTAAGTGTAAAAAATAGGAGGTTTCAAGTGATAACAGACAGAACAAAGTAAGTTACCAAGCAAAATAAAACAAAATACGCAAGTCTAAGCCTAATACATTAAGAAACTGAATACAGGTAAATCTCACCCTCAGAGATATTCCAATAAACTTCTTTCACTGACTAGACTCCTTCCTAGTCTGGTCCCAATCCTTTCCCGTGATACAGTCCTTGTCAGTTCCAGCTCAGGTGGTAACTAGCGGATTTGTTATGACTGGCTACCCCTTTTGTCCTGCTCCACCCCCTTTTATAGCTTTGACCCAAGGTGGGAATCCTTTGTCTCTCTGGATCCCCACCCCTCCTTCTAAATGGAAAGGCACCAGGTTTAAGATGGATTCCAGTATCATGTGACATGGTCACATGTCCTATGAGACCCCAGCCTTCATTCTTCAGGGCTCGCCTGCAGGTCCCCAGGAAGGTTTTCAAGTAAACAGAGCCATTCACAACCAATTGTCCTAGTCAATGGGAGACATCAAGATTCCAAACCACCATTAATGGCCCACCCTTTGCATAATTACAATAGGATTTCAGAGTTGTATTTCATATTTCTAGTTTCAGATACAAAAATGATATATGCATACAAATAGGATGAACAAACTCAGTAGATTATAAGCTTTGTAATGATACCTTACAAGAGACCTTTTGCATAAAGCATATTCCAGGTACCTTATATTCACATTCATAAGCATATTTCCATAGAACATTATGGAGTGCAACGTCATACCCTCCTCCTGAACTTACTGCCAGAGTCTTGGACACTGTCCATGGCGGAGGCAGTACATGTAAAATCCCTGTTTGTCTCTGGTTACACACCTTCCCAGTACCTCTAAACCCTATGATGTCATTCATAGGTGTCCTAGCAAGGTTCAGGGTTCCTGGTCCCCAGGTGCCTGAAAACATGTTGGGGTGTAGTATTGCTAACAGAATGCAAATAGCAATATCTGTTAAAGTGTAGGTGTCTTGGCATTTAGCCATCAAGGCCATGAGGTGGTGTGCCTCAGTTTCCCCATCCACACAGCAGTGTAGGCCTGTTATGCTTTTGCTACTGTGCCAAGCTTCCAGCCTGTTTACAAGTATAAGCTGAAAAGCAACATTCTTGTGGAACTGTCTTGTCACCATCCCTAGCATGTACAAAAGTTTTTTCCACAAATCAGGTATGTCACACATCTTTAAAGGGTTTACCACTAGTATTAATTCCTTTGTTTTAACCCATAGATGAAGAAGCAAAAGACACACGATTAACAGCCAATTTATGACAGACAGACTTTGTTCACACAGTTTGGCTTGTTCAGAGTCTAGTCCATTTTCCAATCCCTTTGTGTACCAGGATAGGTGTTCAGATACAGATACTTCTGTCTCTTTGGAGAAGGCTCTCAATTCAGGCATGTGTTTGAGGTTTTGGTAAGGAAAGGGTGCACTGCAAACATGCCTGCCCTCGGCCCCACCCTCTGGAATCTCTTTGTGTTGGACCCCACCCGCCTGTGAAGTTTTCCAAATGCCAAGTTTTTCTTTCTCCTGCCTTGAAGAGACAGTTTTATCTCTTACAAGCAAAGCAGGAACAACATCTTTTAATGGAGTGCTTTGTATTGGTAAGATCCCCTTGGTCACCTCACTTTCTGTTTGCAAAAGATCTCCCCGTCAGGAGATTTGACCCCTAGTCTTACCTTAAAACCTGATCCACAGGTGAGGGGTCTAGCATTTCAGATGCAGATCCTTCATCCTCCTCCTGGGGAAAAGCCTCCCTACAAAAGGTGAGCAGACCCTCCTGTCCCCCCCTCACCTTCCATATGGACTTCCCTCTCTGGGCTCCCCTCTGGGGCAGACTCCTGTGTCCCCCAAAAGGGAAGGTGACTCTGACCCAGCTGTGGAATCACAGCTACCAGCTATGACAGACCCTTCACTGGCCAGCAAAATTCC